TCGGCAAATTTAAATTTTTGCCAGTGCTGTGGCGCTTCAATCTTTGGCTATGTCTTGGGCTACTCAAACATTTTATGTTTTTGATACTAAATTAACATCTGAAGTATAATTTTTATTATTTTTATATTTTTCAATATATTTATTTTGTTTGTACAAAATAAAAAAATAATTTTTAACGATACAATAGTCTTTGTTAGGCTTAACATCGACAAAAATTCAACGCAAAGCGACACGCAACGGATAAAAATTTCGACATAGGGTACGTTAAACTATTTTTTCGTACGTAAATCAGTTATCCGAAATATCAGTTATCCGGACAACCCCAGTCCCCAATTGATTCGGAAAATCGACGTTCTACTATATATAAAAGACTGTTTTTCTAAGTAATCTAGAATCTAGCTGCAAGGACCCGCTTCACTGGGTTTTTATTTGTTCGTACATTTCTATGTAACATAGTTTTTTTTTAAATATAAAAGACTGTTTTTCTAAGTAATCTAGAATCTAGCTGCAAGGACCCGCTTCACTGGGTTTTTATTTGTGGGCAAAAGCAACAATAGTGAAGATTAATCTTACCCGTTTTCACGGAATGCAAGAATTAGGTCTCCCGTTTCCAGACTAATTAGAGAATTTTTACGTCCAGTCAAGCAAACTATTTTCAATTTGATCAATTTTCTGGAACGTTTAAAATCGTTCTATAATCAAACCAATTCGAATTTAAATTCAAATTCGAAAATTTTTAAAATCAAAATAGAAAATCTTTCACTTTCAACCACTTTCAAGCCTATATCTCCTGCACCCTTATAGCTATCAAGACACAACCACCATAGTGCACGAATGGAGACTTGGGGCTACTACCACACACAAACACCATTCATGTGCAATGTGTAGTTTTGGCTGAAAAGTGAAATATAGGGACACACACATCCATTTTTATATATATACTAGCTGCAAGGACCTGCTTCGCTGGGTTTTTAAAAAGTAACGATAGTGAAGATTAAGATAATTACATTATAGCCAATCTTACCCGTTTTCATAGAATGCAAGAATTAGGTCCCCCGTTTCCAGACTAATTAGAGACCTGGTCCCGATTCTATTTCTGAATGTCTCCTATTCACGTCCAGTCAAACGAACTATTTTCAACGTTTCTAGAATGTTTACAATCGTTCTATAATTGAACCAATATTCAAATTTTATGTTCAAATTAAATTCAAACAAATTCAAACATAACATTCGAAATAGAAAACCACTTTCAACCACTTTCAGCCCCATATCTCCCGCACCCTTATAGCTATTGAGACGCAACCCCCATAGTGCACGAATGGAGACTTGGGGCTACTACCACATACAAACACCATTCATGTGCGATGTNCAACCACTTTCAGCCCCATATCTCCCGCACCCTTATAGCTATTGAGACGCAACCCCCATAGTGCACGAATGGAGACTTGGGGCTACTACCACATACAAACACCATTCATGTGCGATGTGTAGTTTTGGCGGAAAAGTAAAATATAGGGACATACACGCCCATTTTTATACAGATAGCTCTCGGTTTACGCCGCAATTCCATTCCTACAAAAGCCGGCGCAAATTGAATCAGCGTAAAACGAACCCATATTTACACTGAGGTATAGGGTTAGGTTCTACATAAGTAATAAATACGCAAATCATTTTGTTTATTAATACAATGAGAATATCAAAAAGATAAATGGCCCACGACTCTTTTTGGCTTCTGAAGGACCTTGTTAATACAGTAAAACCAGAGTAACCCTGAATCGCATGGTACCTAATATTTTTTCCGGTTTGGTAGGTTTCCGTTTTGAACAGGTTCTTTTTTTAACGTAGAAAATAGAGAGGTTTTATTTTTATGCAGTTTCCGTTTTAGACAGGTTTTACTATATTTATGCTACACGGTATATTTATGTATGTGTCTATTTTCTGTATAGGCCCATAGAAAAAATATGTGGTTTGAAAATTAAATAAGTATATTTAAAATGTTTTTCAATGAATTCTTTATAATTTAAGATCAGGAAATACTGAAGAACTAGAGGAAAAATATATAAAAATACATAAAAAATGTAAACAAAATAATATAATAGAAAAATTAAGTAAAAAAGAAAAAGAAGGTGGAAAAATGTTCGAATAAAAGCGAATATTCGAATGTGTTGCGTCATACAGTTTCNTTTAATATTAATTTAATGCAAATGTATACATACCCAGTAATATTAAACAGAAAAAATAAATATATTCAATAAAAATCTTTGTTTTAACGAATGTATAATGTCGCGGCTTGGTAAATACGTCAACACTGAAATGAAAAGCATAGGGAAAATAGGGGAATTACACTGCAAAACGGTAAATTGCGCAGCGGCGTTATTGTGAATTGGCATAAATTGAACCGACGTAAACCGAGGGCTACCTGTATATATACTAGCTGCAAGGACCCGCTTCGCTGGGTTTTTATTTGTTCGTACATTTGTATGTAATATAGTTTTTTTTAATATATAAAAGACTGTTTTTCTAAGTAATCTAGAATCTAGCTGCAAGGACCCGCTTCGCTGGGTTTTTATTTGTGGGCAAAAAGTAACGATAGTGAAGATTAAGATAATTACATTATAGCCAATCTTACCCGTTTTCACAGAATGCAAGAATT